TGTAGAGAATATATATTTTGAAATAAAAAATAAAAAATTGATTGATTTAATATTTATTATTAATTTTTAAATAATATTTATGTGTAATTAGTATATTTGCAATTAACTAATAATTAATAAAGCAAGTATGGGTATAAGCTAATTACATTGATAAATATATTGAAACTATATACCAATCTTCTATGATCCAATATCTCCTATATCCAAATTGTTAGAAACATAGTGACAAAGATCCTCTTGAATACTTCACAGGGAAAAAAAGCTGGAGACTTTGTTAATATAGGGCATTCAAGTTATTGGTTTTTTTCTTAAAGAGTATAATATAATTTTTAATTTATTAGTTATGTATTGAGATTCATTGTAATTATATTTTGAATAGGATGTTCTCACGTAATTTGTTTCCTTATTTTAAGCCATGTCAAGTCTTGGATAGGTTGGCCTAGGCGTTGGTAGGGATGCCAATGAATAATACAATCCGATAACATGATTTAATTTAGACTTAAAACATTCAATTGGTTGAATATTGGCCTAAATTATATATCCGATTATAATTTGGGTTAGGTTCAAATTAGTTTGACTAAATTAAAAACTATTCAAAATTGGCATGCTTATTATTCGGGTTTGATTAGACACGTATGGGTCAAGTTAATTACTTAATTGGGTTAAGTGTATCATATTTGGATTAATTTGATTATTCTGATTCAAAAAATTTTACAAACCATAAAATAAATGAGCTAGTATGTTGGATTATGGTTAGATGAATTTGGTCAAAATTTTGACAGATATAATAAATAAGTTGAATTCGAATTAAGCACATTCAGATCAAAGGAGTTGTCCCAAACCAGTTCTATGGTAATGGTTAGTCAATTGCACAGGGCCTATTTAAAAAAGATAAATGGGCGACAAAAGGTAAGGTGATTCCCACTGAAGCTTAGCATGCAGAAGAATTGTAGAAGAGGATTATAGAGGCAGAGAATGAAAAATGGTATGCTCCCTATCCTTTGTAAACAAATTTGTCTTATCTTTTGCTTATCTCGGGTAAGAAGCACTTCCAATAGTTCATGATATCCAGGGTAATGGAGTGGACGTGATACTCTTGTAGTGATATTACCCATCAAACACCCTATTGAACTATTTACAGTCATTTATAATAGTCATTAAAGCATTTATTTTGTCGTTTTATGATATCATTGTTCATATGGAGAATATATATTTGCATCCACAAAATGTAGGCAATCAGTGTATTCCAAGCTTCAATTGATCAATATTACTATATATATTTTGAGTCTCTATGAGATAGTATTTTTACTATTTCATTTTTTAAACCATTATCAGAAATATACTTGGATATTACTTTCTTGTTATTTTCAAATAATTTTTGTTATTTTTCAAATAATTTTATGGTAGGAAGTTATTTGGAGAACCGGGTTTGATAAAATGTGATAGCTGCCTGATTTTAAAAATAGTTGTAATACCCATAAAAACTTTTAAAAAATTATTTTTTCTCACAATAATTTAATAAACATTTTTCCAAAAAGATGTTATCGCTCGAAATGTGTAATAACCCGTATCTTGACCGAGATAATTTTTTTTATGGAGTCAAAATAACTCTAAATCGCAAACACTACGGGAAAACCCGTTAATACCGGCGGATAAAATCCGCCAATACTATAAAAATTCCGTCGGAATGATGTGTTTCCGGCGACCTTTCCGGCGGAATTCTATACGCCGGTTTGGCTCGCATCGATAAATGTTGTCCGGCGCATATAATGCGCTGGAAATATTTCCGGCGCACTTTTCGACACATTACCGACGCAAAAAATGTGGCAGCCGGCTACTTTTCGACCGATAATTTCGGCGACATCGGCGCAGGTAATTTGCGTCGTAAGAGTCCTCCGGTATTTACAGACGGAAATAACACTGTTAGCGCCGTAAATAACATGTTAGAATGTTTACGGAGCAAAATATGCGTCGGATAACGCCGGCGGATTCGACGCCGGAAAAGGCGCCGGGAAGTTCCGGTGTATGAAGAGACGCCGTTATAATCGATACGATTCGTTGTATCATCGTTTTCGGCGAACGACCGGTGCAAAATCCGCCGGAAACCTGTAGCATTGACAAAAAAAAAATTGTCTTCCCAGCCAACAATCAAATTTCCACATCTGCAAACCTATACAAATATCTATCCACAACAGTTTATAACAATTCAATAGATGCACAAAAACATAAATACTCATTAAAAGAAACTGTTCAATAGTAACAACCAACTTAAAACATCATATTGTTCAATATTACAGATTCAAAGAAAATAAACAAGTTCATAAAATAAACTAAACTACTCTGAATCCGTGGCTCCTCCTCAGCTAGAGCTACCTCTTTTCCACTCATCCGCTCCCTCATTTTGCGCATTTCATCCAACAACTGATTGTGTTGCTCCTGTATTATCATTTGAACCTGTGCTTGCAACTGAGCTTGCCAATCAGCTTGTGATTTCCTTACTTATTCTAGTTCAGCTTGTAGGGCACTTATTTGTTGAGCTTGCAAGGAGTCATGAGAACTGGATGCGAAGCTGGATGCAGTAGAGGAGGTCATCCCCTCGTATGCCTGAGCTTGCGCACCTAAACCATAAACTCTCCCATGCTGCATTCCTTCCAACGGCCCTGCGACTAGATGCGATATTAGAAAACTCCACAGACCCCCAGAAGAGCCCTCACTGCTGCGACATGAGTCTCTTAAAAGCCGTGTATATTCCTCATGTGAAGTATATATAAAATATATATAATTTAAACTAAAATAAAAAATTATTAAAAACACATTAAATATACTTACCATGGCTTTCCTTGCTCTCTCATCAATCCATTGTTGATCCTCCGTCGCTTATGAGTGGCAACTATGCAATTCTACAGGAGTTGGTTCTCTACCAAGCGTCACTTTCTTTATTAGAATTAAGAGAATTTTAATTAATACAAATTAAAGCATAATTTTAAATAATATTTAAATTCATTACCAAAAGACGCTGTGCTCAGTATGTGGAACAGAGCCTCTGTACTGAAGTGACTACCCAAGCCCTCCAACAATCAGAGCTCTGGTTCTGTTGATTTTGATCCTCAACGAATTGTTAGTTGGATCGTCGGAAGACTCGAACCGCAAGAAGGATTTTCGGAGTTCCCCAATCAGGGAAGAAGAAGACCAAAGAGGTTTCTAAAGGCTTCAAAAGAGTTTTATATCATTCAATGACTTCCCTATTACAAAACTTGCTATTTATAAAGCAAAAGGAGCATTCTAGAACAAAATGGATAAAGTACTCCTAAGGACTATCCTAGCTTAAAATGCACCGCATCATTCTCCCCTTGCGTAAAAAGAGCTCGACTCCGTTCGAGTCTCGTGATTTAGGCGGAAGGTAGAGGTGATTATCCCAACCAGATTCCAGGGTCGAATACTTTGAATGCGGACTTTAAAATTTTGACATGAAGTGGATTCCCCCAATTGAAGACCTTGTGTTCATTTCTGCACGCACGACTCCAGATATCTCCAGTACAATGAGGAGAAATAGCACTCAGAGAAGAAAATGAAGAAGTAGGAGATGATGATGGGCCAGGATTCAGTAGAGGAGGATCTGAAACTTTGATGTATATAGCACCCATACACCTAACCATATCTTCAGAAATTTTGTTGGCTGTCTCAGGAGCATATTCAGCTACACCGATACCAAGATATTCTGCTAGGCTTATCAACCCGGAGTTCGAATCATGCCAATCTGTGAGGAATGACAATGGCTAAGAATGACAGTCTTGAAGAGCTCTAGCCAGGGCTGCTTCTGAAGGAGAAATTCGAGATGAATAAACTGCGCGCTGATTGAGTGCTGAATGGCAGCGATGAACATTGCGGTCGGAAATGTTTTGACAGTAGGATTCATCTGTTAATTTGCAGGCTGTGATTTGAGATGGTAGAATTCTAGTAGAGTGAACTAATGGATGACCACTAAGTGACGAGATTTCAGGCCCTGGAAGCTCATGAAATAGCTTTCTTTGGAAGCTAATTGGCTGTTTAGCTTTGGCAGCACGAGAAGATGAAGTTGGGAGTTGCTGCTCGAAATCTTTTCGATAGAGTGATAGAAGATGCTGCTCCAAGTGCATGACTTCTAATTCTAACACTGCAATCTCTCTTATCAACTCCTTGGCTGGCTTGGGCATGAAGGTGACATTGGAAGAATCAATTACTTCTTTTCTATAGCCCAATGCTTTCTCAAGCGTAAGGTGTACTTCCAGTTGATCCTTGAGCCATTTCTCAAGTTGGATAATCTGTGCAAAAGCTTCGGTTCCCAGATGCTCATTTGATGGGTCCCATAGCCACTGCATAACAAACTCTTTGTCCTTGCCTCTACCGAGGAGATCATTTCTAGGAAAGGATACAACTTCGCATGCTTTGAACAGCTCATACTGCTGCTCTTTCCTTGTGCTTTCTAATAAATGAAGGATGTGAGCTGTGAATCGATCTCCCTTGATAAAATCAGCACTGAAATCGTCAATAACCAACTGCCTGAAGACAGTAGCGACATTACGTCGAGCATTACGTGAGCATGATGTTGGATCAACCTTTTCAGCATCATTTAAACATGGTATTTCCACACCTGTCGAAGTTACCACTCCTACAAATCCAAAAGAGAGCAGGGACATAGAACTCACAAAAGAAATAGCAGGTAGTAAGTGTAGCACAAAGAAAAAGGTCGTATCCTTGGCAGTTGATGGCAAGACAGACTGGGTAAATGGCACTGAACTAGATGAGCAGGATGAGGACAGAGCACTTCCAAATGAAGATGTTGAAGATGAAGGTAGCTGATCGGGAGGAGTTGCGGTGCAGTCGGCTTCGGAGTCATGCTCGATGGACATTCTGATATCCACGAATCCTCCACCTCTCATCCCCTGAGAGTTCATATTACTGCACAATGGAAACTGTGGGGCGTGCGTCATCGCACCCTTGGCGGGCATAGCGAGATTAGCGTTGGCATTTCTATCTCCGGCCATGATTGAGGACCCAGCTGATCCGAAAGGCGAGGTCATCGGAAGAAAGGAATAAATAGTATCGGTCACAGGAGGAAGCGGAGAAGGTTTTAAAGCTTTGTAAAGCTTGATTGTTCCTCCGTGGTTTTGATTAGAAAGGGTCGGACTTGCTCGGATCTGGGAGCGTTCAAGTGGAGAATGAATGATGGGTTGCTGGTTGGCTGCGGGAGGCGGAGGAGCTCGATTCGAGTGTTGGAACTGAAGGGAATCACGGTCGTCGCCAGGCACTGATTCGCGCTCATCGCTAGGCGTGGAATCGCGCTCGAATGCGTGAATAGTCTGTGGAAGCGGATGCGGAAGCAAGTCATGGGGCAAGGGATGTTTACGAACTTTGCGATCAGGCAGAGGATCTCGCCATCGCAATGGAAGCTCGAGCGGTGTGTATTCCAGCGGTGGATCACGCCATTTGAGCGGGAGTTCGAGCGGAGCGTAATCATCAGCGACCGTGGGAATATGGCGGGACGGATGGCGTCTACGTGAAGCGGACGAGGGGATCGAAGAAGAAGGATGTATTGGTATGGTTGCCGACAACATCCTCATCCTCATTATTGACCGAAGGGTTTCGCGAATCCGATCAAGGTTTCTATCTACCTTATCGAGCGACTTCTTCGATTGAGCTTGATAGAAGGCGATCCGGCTTCGAGCATCGTCGACAGCCCACCTTCCTTGGCGTCGATCGTCGTCGACCGCCAATCTTGTTTTGTGGCTTCGATCGTCGTCGATAGCCGACCTTCTGCAATACATCGATCTTCGCAAGCTCCAGGCTCTGATACCAACTGATGTAGTGGATCGTCGGAAGATCAAACCTGCAAGAAGGATTTCAAGGAGTTTCCCATTCCATGGAAGAAGAAGAGAGCTTTCTCAAAGCTTCAAAAGAGTTTATATCATTCAATGACTTCCCTATTACAAAACTTGCTATTTATAAAGCAAAAGGAGCATTCTAGAACAAAATGGATAAAGTACTCCTAAGGACTATCCTAGCTTAAAATGCACCGCATCACTCCTAGTGTACTCTTCGCTGCCCCAAGATGCATTCAACTCAGCCCATATAACATCTCCAATCCACTATGGTCGCTTCCCATGCTTTCTAATATATGTGAACATGTGACGCATCCGAGTAGACCCACGCTTCTCTAAATTCTTTCTAATCCTGTCATTGTGTTGGGGCAGCCAACAAAATTTTTTTTGCATTCAAATACATATGATATATAATAAATAAGATTTTTAGATTAAGTAAAAAAGAATAAATCATTTTACATAAAATCTAAAATCCAAAAATACCTCAAACTCTCTAAACCACATGTCCTGGACTTCTTTCGGGACTTTTTTCCAAGAAACATATGGAGCGTCAAACCTGCTCCGTTTGATGCCCATATTTTATGTGTCAGTTGTTTTGATGGGTAGAACCTACAAAAATAAAATTATGTGAAACAAATATAAAATATAAAATAGAAATGTTCGTTAGCTTAAATAAAAGAGAATATGCGTACGTGTCACCCTCAGGTTCTATCAACATTCTACCATCTGTCGCCTGCTCTGCTGCAGCTGCTGTCGAAGGTCCAACTGCTGCAGGCTGATGGGGTGGTGGGGGATAGTATGGTGGAGCATATGGTTAAAATGGATAAGTAGGAGGGGCACCAGCATAAGGTGGGGGTGTGTAGTATGGGTAGAAAGGAGTACTCTGCCTGGGATCTGGTGAAGGAAATCAGGGGTCTGCTGAGTAAAACTATGGGCTACTGGTTCCAGGAGTGGGTAAAGGCTGTGTAGCAGGCTGAGGTTGTGTAGCAGGCTGAAACGAGGTGGTCCCCTCAGTACGTACTAACCTAGCTGGTCCAGCTGTAGTAATCTTCTGTGATACAGATCAACAGTTACATCATCTGGTTCTAGGTGCACTAGATTTTTGTGTTTAGAACATGGACATCAAAACTTTCCTTCTGATATAAAGCTGGGTAGTCGCTTCGCTTGCTGAATGAAAAAGTTCATTCCATTAATGAATTCATCTGTTAATGTCTTCCGACCTTGAGATAATCAGTTATACATCCAACTTCTTTGATTTCTAATATCAATAACCTACATATAAGAGCAAATAAGTAATGGATTATCGCGCTTAAGTAGATCTAAAACTGATTATATATAGATGTAAAAAGATAGGGTGCTTGTAGAAAATTATGATCATTTAGCATTGTCTCTAAGAATAAAGGCACTCATTCACGTACATGAGCATCCTCATCTCTACAATACTTTTCTATCAATCACACAATAGGCCTTAAGCATTGTCTCCATTTAGCATTAATGTCTCTAAGATTAAAGACACTCAGTAACTTGAGCATCCTCATCGATCTATCTCTATAATACCCAACTTAATTTTTTATTTATCTTTTAATGGCCAACATTATGTGACATAAAGCATTGTAGGTCTCACCACCATTTTATGAACTTGTTTTTTAAGTTTGAGTGGTACTTTTCTATATGTATTCCTCCACTCATGGTTTAAAATTGCACAATATGAGGATCGCCTTTGCGTAATTCCAGTAAAAAATGCCTCGATGCTTACGCCTCGAGTGTTTTTTATGAGGCTTGCGCCTCAACTTGGTTGAGGCCCGCCTCGCCTCACTGGCATGAGGCTTACGCCTCGCCTCACGAATGAAAAATGCCTCAATACCCGAATACGTAATTTTAAACATTGCCTCCCCTTTAACCAAACAACTTGAATATGCTTTGTAATCACCTCCAAAACTAATACATAAAAAATGTGCTTATTGTGAACCTTTGATACAAAGCATATTTTTTCTCTAATATTACTAATCTTTTTTCCCATCTATATTTTTTTGTTTCTTTTTTGCATCATCAATGGTATCAAAGTGAAACCAAGACCCATCCTTCCTACCACAATCTCCTTTTCGCACATGATCTCATCATCCTCTACTCCTAAACCCTAAACCCTAAACTAATTGATTTTTTGGTACTATCATAATATCTCTTTCAAAATCTATGCTCCATTACTATACCATAAATTCAATGTAAGTCTAAAGAAAAAAAGACAAGCTAATCATTTATGTAATCCAACTGAAATAGGAAAAAAATTTCGTCAAAAGAAAAAAAAAAACCTTCTGTTCCGTCGAGATCTCGAGCGTCAGTGAAGATGAACGCGACCACGAAAGCTAGGATGCTTCGGCAAAATTCGGTGACCGTCGGCAAAGTCCGGTGACCGTCGGCGACAATGATCTACGGTGAGCGACGGAGGGCGACGAGCGAAACAAGTGAGGTGAGAGAACGGAAGGAAAGAAGTGATGGGCCAGAGGGGCTCGGTCTCGAAAAATAGGGCTTTTGCCGGCAGATTTTCCGACGTCCTGTCCGCTGGAGATAATTCCGGCGTCCTGTCCGCCGGAGTTATTTCCGGCGCACCATGCGCCGATTTTATTTCGTTGAGTTTAAATACCCCGGTGCCATATCCGCCGGAACATTCATCGTTGATTTTCCGTCGTAACATGCGACGGAAATGGTGAAATGTTGGTTTTTTCCGACGCCGATACCGACGTAACTGATGCCGAAAATGTTCCGGCGTAGTTTGTGTCGAAAAATCCGCTGTAGATTTTCCGACGCAACAATGCGCTGTTACCTGCGCCGTGCTAACCGTAGTGAAATTGTCTTCATCCTAGCATTATTATTATAGTATTTTACTTGCATGATTTTTTTTCATACTTTTGGGCATCCTTTAAATCAATTTGCAAAATGGACTCCTGACAATCTCAAAATTTTCACTTGTAATAATATGTGCCAATTTCTTAAAGATTTTCACTAGTGCCCAAAAATTATGAAAAAAATTATACAGGTAAATACTACAATAATAGTGCTATGGGAAAGACGATTTGCAATTTGGAGTTATATTGACTACATAAAAGATATTTACCTCGATCAAAATATGGGTTATTACAATCTACACTGCTTAAGAAAATATCATCCCCGACATTTCCCTTAAGGATTTAGTCATAAAATTAATATGAACCAAATTTGTACTATCAAAACTCAAATCAAATCAAAATCAAAATTCATCAAAAGTCATACATTTATGCAGTTCATTCTTTCATATGTTATTCAATTATATATGTAAACTGACACACCTTTATCTACCCACTCTACCCAACTCTTAATCAATTCCTATAGCTCTGATAACAATCAATTCTTCCAAAAACTATGCTCTAATACTATTTATGATTCTTTAGATTCTAAATTAGAAGAATTTTTCTTTTAATCTTTTAATAAATAATAATCAAAGCTATATAATATCTTTTAGTAGTTATAAATATCAAAATATTATTATATAATTCAAAACATTAATGTACACATATGTATTTATTTCTCAAAAATCATAATCATCTTAGTAGATGTTCTTAGCAAAAAATCCTCTAGGATATTGAGCATGCTGCTTACTTCTGATGAATATTTGATTATGGATATAGAGAAACTATAATATAAGTGATTCCTTCTATTTTTAGGGATTCTGGCATTCTCGCTTAAATGATTATTCAACCATTTATATAAGAAAGGATTTAAAAAATCTAAAAGTCAAACACAAAATATCTAAAATATGATTGATCAGATCAAGTATGATAAGAGATCTAAATTGTGAGTATCTAATTTTTTGT